TATTGAACTAATTGGTGAATGATGAGAAACTCTGATGGGAAAAGAAAGTTGGTGATAGACTGTAATTGAATTGTTAACTCTGAAGATTGCTCCTGCAAACAATGACAACATTGTCCAAAACAGCCAAATACAAACATAAAATCAAATATCAAACAATAATAAAAAAGTAATCACTTATCAATTTCATTGCATTTTTCATTGCCTGCGGACTGAAATTCATATAATACGTAAAGTTATAAGTCTGTTGTGATTCAGTTATCATTCAAAGTGTGTTCAACAATAGATAAGTCTTGAATTATTATAAATACAAACACAGACATTTAGACTCACACACAATATAGCAAAACAAGTAAACTACTACATTTAATAAATTGTAAAAATACAATTTTTTCACTTTTTATTAGTTTCATGTTTGAATCATTTTTTCTGTTTGAAACTTTCATCTTTTTCCTTTGTGATCATCAAATTTTTACTTTTTTTATCTTCACTTTTTTCACTTGATTCAACTAAATTTGTTTCACTCATTTTTTAATGATAGTAATAATCAAAATAATGTATCGTACATATTAAATACAATGCAATAATAATGGTTGATCATTTCTCTGGTTATTGGGTTATCCCTATTATTATTTTTTATTATCATCATCCTCATCATCATTATCATTATTGCTCATATTATTGCTTCCTTTATCATTTCTCGTATCATTTGTGACCTGATTTACCTTTCCGTTTTAATGATGAAGTCAGGACAAAATTTACGTTACTCTGCAAGAGTTAATCATGCTGTCACAATCAAGTCAACTGTTAAACTTTCAATCACTGGTTTACCATATGAGTCAGATTAAATTGAGAGTTTGCTATTAACATTTGCATCTATTGAAGCCTCACCAGAATTTTGATCGTCTAAAGTATTTTCTCTCTTCTTTTCATCTTTTAAATCAATCTTTCAATAATTTCACCTTTTATCGATCCAGCAATTCCAACTTATCACATAGTTGTTTAATAGATGATGAAGCTTCGTAAACTTGTCAAGACTAAACACCCATTATTGTATATTATGTTCAACAGTATTAAATGAAGTTTACTTTATGATTATGATAACAACTGTATTCATTGATCGTTGAACATTTGTTCATTTAATGACGATTTAACTCTTGTTGAACTGTTTTAACTGAATTATTGTTCATGTTTCCCTTGCTATATCAGTTATTAATTTGCAAGTTCCAAATCTTTATCCAACTTCGTATTTATTGTTGAGTTTCATTGGCTTTTTAATAGTTGGTCTTTTAATGTTGACCATTGAGAAGAGTGGTTTTTTATCTATTGCTTTAAATCCTAGAGTAAATACCATTATTCAGATAATGCTCATTATTATTCTTGAAATATTTAGTTGCACTATTATGTTGTTATAAGTTATTAGAACCATTTTCAGTTGTTTGATCCCATAAGAAAAAAATGAAAAACCTGACATTTCTTTGGACCAGTCAAGGTTATTCAGTGTTATCTATTAAAAATGAACTTTTTTCCCATTTTCATTCTTTTCAATTTTACTTGGTAGATTTAGATATTTCCACTCTATTTACATGGAGAAACATTCATGACTTTGTGTTTATTGTTGAATCAACAAATAACTCATTAGCATGTTCACTTATATTTCCCATTAACTAACGTCTTCATGGTTATACCACAATATTTCAAAAACTCTGAACATCTTTTTTCTCCTTCTCTCAACATTTATTCTGTAATGAAATTTATACTTTTCTTTGAATCTTCAACAAATCAACTAACGTTTCCAGTAAATCATCATCATCATTATCATCGCCAACATCTTCATCTAGTTATCTGAATTTTTCAACAACCAACAGCAGTTATGAAAGAAGTCAAAAATATCATTTATTGTTGGCAGAAAAGTTTCAAGAATAATTGAAAGAAATGTTTAAATTTCTTACCTTTCTTTTACTTTTTCTTTAGTATTAGTTTGCCACACTTTTGCTACTCTTTTTTCGCTCCTCTTCAATCATCATTCCTCAGATTCCAAACTTTGATATTCATAAGATTCTTTGGTGCAACAAACAAACAAAAACTAAAGGCTACTCAAGGCCCAGACTTTCCTATTCATTTCACATCTCACATTATTCCAATGTTACTGTTATTTTTTGTTCAAACAAAAATTCGTTCCATCAACATTGCAAATCTATTCCTTCAGAATTCAACTCCCACCTTCATCAACTTCAACTTTTCCTTTGTTTTTTTCTCATCTTACTTTCTTTTCAGATTATTCTTGCAGCTGAAATGTTTTACATGAACATCAATTAGCAACTTGAACCTTTTCATCCAAATAAAAATATAAATATCTCAACAAAACTACTAGAAATAAACTGAATAAATATCTCATTGTGAAATTAAATTAAATCACAATAAGCTACCATTTATTGGTCATTAAAATCTGAACGAAACAAGTCATATAGCATTTCCCTTCAACTTATAGATTTAGTATTTAATTTCCACAAAAATGATATTTTAAGCAAAACAGTTATGACTGCCCTTTTGGTCTACGAAATGTCTAAAATACATCATTTGTTGATTAATGCTCATTGAATGCTAAGCCAATTTGTCAAGATCAAAGGGGTGTACATGCTGTTTCAGAATAACATTTGTAACTTACTTTCAGTCCCTAATTGATTGAAATTTCATAAGTTTATTCAGTATATTGTGATAATTTGGTAAAAAATTTTCTGTACGATCAATCAAAATTTGAAATGTTTTCGTTTGTTTTGTGCCAAAAATCATTAAAAAATGTATTGCGATCGATAAAATAAGGTTTCAGTAAGTCTTCTTGATCTTGGTTAATGCGACTCTGATAATAAAAAATAATTTTCAAAATTTTATCTGCTCGACATTTGAAAATTATTCTCACACAGTCCAAGTCACAGCTTCAAGTCTATTTTTGGTAACTTCAAAAGTCCTTCAGTTCTTAAGTTTGTGACAAAGTATCTAATCAGTGATACTATTGACCACACAAGAATAAGTTTTGTAGATAATCTCAACTTTCTAATCCGTTTTGTAGTTGATGAAAGATTAAAAAGAGTTCCTTAATCAATGAGTAATCTACCGTCAGCTGTAATTGAACACATTACATTAATTTATATACTTCTTAATCAATGCTATTCTTTGATTATCTCTTTTCCATTCACCATGAATTCATTTCTCATTGTCTCTGATTTATCATTCTAAGTAAATATTACTTTACACTTTCCATACCTTTTTTGCTTCCCTTCTCGATCATCCCTATATTACATGTATATCGAAAAGGTTTCACTTTTATTCACTTTACTTTTTATCACTTTAACCCATCTTAATATTCACTAGCAATTTGATGATGATAATAATGATGATGATCACCATTTTCATCTTTCACCATTTGCGAATTGCCATGTTTTCTCATCTTTTTTATTGCTCACCTGACTTGTCAATAATAGTTGTTGGCTGATTTAACTTTTTCATCTTTCTTCGTCGTCATCATCATTCTTGTCATCATCATTGATGTCGACTTTCTTTGCAAGCTTGTTGATGATCCTCTCTTATCATTCATTTTTCATCTTTCCCTAGATGCAGAAAAACCATGAAAAATATAAACATTTTATTATAAAACCATTTTAGAAGATGGTATTAAAGCAATCAGTGTCTTCTTATATTCTTTATCATCCAATCTCTTAAACTTTTTCCTTCACTATTATTGAATTCATTTTTCATGTTTATTAACTGATTTTGCGATGAATTTTGCATGATGACCAAATCTATTAAACAAGTCAGGGATGTTTGACTTTGACCATTAAAGATCAAATGTAAATAATATGCACATGAACCCAACAGATAATTTCATTTCAATATTTTTGTCCAATCACAACATTATCAAGTTGATAATAATGATTATATTATTTAATGGATTCATTTATGATAAAATTGTTTCCTCCGTTTCCATAATTGTTGTTGAATTAAACCCTTTTAACAATAATGATAATAATGCATGTTAAATTGTCTTTAAATGTTTTACTTTCAATGTTGCGATTCAATTGTTGAATATTTTTCCACTTATCAACTTATCTTGTACAATTGAAAATTGTTCAACATTAATATTTAAAGTTCAATTTTATCACTTCGAACAAAATGAAATGATTTGAATAATTAATGACCAAAAGATTAATTGAATGAGTCTTTCATTGAATAAAAACATTTATATTGATTTTAGTTCTGGAAATAATTTCCATGTTTATATTAATTTGAAAGAAAAAATCTTCTAACGAAGTCAGTGCAAAAAGAAAACAAAAACAGAATGAATACAAAGTATTAACAATTTTAATGTTCTCTCATGATAAACATGAATAAAATAGTTCACTATTTTGATTCAGTTTTTTTTCGTTCTCTTTATTATTAGAATTCTTGTTTTCTTTTCTCCCTGCATCAAGTTAGATTTCAGTTTCCTCAGTTTTTTGCTCCTAGATTCATCTAATTCTGATAGCAACAAAAGGCAAGATAAAAAATTAGCTCAAATAGTGTTCAGAATAGCTTCAGGGCTTATATCTTTTTTTCACGATTCTTACTTCAATACTTGAAGCTTCAATGTTTGTCAAATCCATTGTTATCAAACCTTATCATTGGAGTAAAGTCAAAAAGTATAAGTTGTCATTCTGATAGCATTTATTGTAAATACTCAGAGGAAGAAACAAGAAATCTTATTCTGTTTTTATTCTGTTCACTTTATTCCAAAATTTAATGATGAAATGAGAAATGTTAGTCTTTGAATCAATCAGTTTCTGTATTGATTCTGAAGGGTTTACCAATTGGATTACAATTTCTTCCCTTATAAATCGCTTACAAAAATCTTTACTTGACATTTTGCTAACCTTTTCTTGAATTCTTACTTCTTTGCGTCACCTTTAAATCTTTTAAAACGAAACTAATTTTTATCAATAATTTCTTTTTGTCTTCATGATTTACAGAAAATCAAGTCAATTACAAAGATCCAGATGATAATGGTAAGTTTCACAGTTAATTTATTAAACAATGTTATGTTTGCAATATTCATACCTTTTTGAAGAGCTTATATCAACTTTAAATCTGTCCATTCATCAATAGCATTGATTTGCTTTGAATTTATCCGATTGATTGAGTTTCAACATTCGTAAACAACAATTTCCTTTAAAATCGTATTCCCAAATCACTCCATATTATCAAATTTTACTTATTTATCTCATTGTCTCTTAATATTTCCTATTCATTCAACCTTTTCTTGTTCCATGGTAATATTATCGCATGTTATGTTTGCACTGTTAGTCTTTCTCCTTTTTTGTTGCTTCCCTTCAACTCTCCTTGTTTACCCTAATCTAAAACTTCCGGTTATTTTCTTTTGGTCATTTTCATTCATCATAATCATGTTCATTTTTTTGCTCTTGAAAATCAACAGAAACAAAGCTACAAAACTCATTGACAAGCTTATAGTGAACTTACCTCAAAATGATTCAATCAGCTTCCGTTTCCATTTGTTATATTTCTGTACATTTCAGTGTAAAACAAATAATGACTCAGGGGAAGAACTTAATTAACTCACTATCTTAAATCAATCACAATTGTAACTCTTCTAACTTATAGAGATACCTATCGAAGTAATATTCACAATTACTCAATATCCACTTACAATTCAACATAATTACTCTTCTAGATTATTCAGTCAATTATTACAATGTGAATGAGAGAAAATAAAAAATAAAAAATAGAGTAAAGTTCAACTCTTTGTTTCTTTTTCTGTCCTTTTCCCCATGAAAAGTGTTTATTGGATGAACAGAACGTCAAAAAGTAAAAAAAATGATTATATAAAACTATTATTTTCACTCCCTTTCGTTTAACCTAATCAATGCTCAGAGAAGCAAAAGAGTTGCAAGTTTTATTATTGAAGACTAATTTAATTTTCATTTTTATCTATTTCAATAAAAGGTTGAATGATTTAATAGTTTGAAACTGTTCCCTCTCCCTTTGCATCAATTATGATGGTTATTAATTTTCATTATTATTAATATTATCATTTGATGACATTATTGTCAAGGTCAATCATAAGTAAACTATTTTTAGTAGCATCAGCAATACATTTACTGAATCACTGATTTTGTTTCTCGATTTGCACTTTTCGTTATTGATTGTTGTATTTTGCACTGTACTTTGCTCCACTTCCTTATTGATCGCAACTATTTTCAGACTAGTTAATTATCGCTATTATTATTGTGATATTGATTGTTTCTTTCAGACGATTTCCTATTGAACTTTCAAGGTTTTTCAGCTTCAACTTATTCCTCAACTATTCAAAATTATTTATATTGAACGATCTATATTGAGAGAAAGTGAATGTTTAATTGATAATGAAATTGAATAAAGATTTACATGAATTGCTTTCCTATTGTATCGATAAACTCAGAGTCAAAGCTTAGTTGATCATTCATTAACTAATCAGATTAATTCAGATGGGTTTCTATTCATTTCTCATTTCTGAGTTGATTTGTTGATGAAAAGTTGTAATCCAATCTCACGCTGTTAGTTCATTTCATCAAATTTCTTCTCCGAATCGCTGCTCACTTCCTATGAAACTATTCCTGAGTTCTTGTTTCATTCAAGCCATTGCAATTCAGGTGAACTAATCAACTTGATTTTTCGATTAAAAATATTTAAAAAGATGTCAATTTATTATATATTTTATGATGTTAAAAGAAAAGTGTAATTCAATTTTGCTTCAACTACTATTTTGCAAATTCAAACAATCATTCAATTGCAACTGGTAAGCCAACAAAATATTTCACTGTTTCACTCGAGTTAATTTTGTCTTGTTATTTATTTGCAAATTGAAACTCGATTGACTTTAAACTTTCAGTCTGAAGGAGAAAAGAACCGATTCAATGATGAAAATTTCTTTTCGTTAGCTCTAAATATACATTATTTTTACCTTTTTTCATGATTGCATGTGGAAAAAGAAAAATAATGAATAAAATTGTCAAAACACAAAGTGAAATGCAAAATGTAGAACAAAGGCAAATATTTTAATAATATTTCAAAGTAAAAGCAAAATATGGGTTGACAATGAAACACTTGACTGATGAGAAAAAAAGCCTCAAGTTACATGATAAAACACAAAAAAACAACAAAATTGCTAATTGAGGGAAACTGTGAATACTTTTTACCCGGAAGTTTTATTGAGATTTCAATCTTATTTTTGTGTGCCTCTTGTTTAGTCCTCTTGGTGACTCTTCTCAGTCCAACACTGTCAACATTTGATGAACGATAGATATTCATCTTGACTCGATGTTACCTGTTAACCCAGTCATGGTGTTAATTTTATTGATAATTTGTAAAAAAATCAAGTATTAGCTATAAACTGAAACATTTAATTTGGATGTGATGCACTTGTTTATACATTTTGTTGATCCTTCATCAGGTTATGTTCATTAACATTAATTAAACCATTTTTCTTCATCAAAATAATTGGCAACTTCAACTCTGCTTTTATTTTCTTTTGTTCAACCAATTCTTCAATTGATTCCATCCCTTACCAGACTAATCATATCCTTGACCCCTCAGGCTAGTTTGTTCAGTTTTAACAAAATAAAAATGTTATTCGCAATTTAGTAATGATAACAAGCTCAAAATTGCTCGCCTTTATAATTGAGTTTAAAATTTGATTAAAGTGCTCACAAAAAGAGGACATTTTGAATAAAGTAACTTTTAAGGTTTACAGGTTTGCAGTTTGCCGGTTTGGTCAACTTTATTGATTATGTGGACTTGAGCAGGTATGATCAATATCTCTGAATCTTATTGATTTTGATAAATTTTATAGTTTGATTCAATGTTCAACAATTCCGATCTTTAGAATCCAAGCAAGTGTATTAATCAGCATTATGAATAATTAATTGATTGAATTTCATCTAATTTTGATTCCATAATTGCATTTAATGTTGATTGCTCCATCTAATTTGAAAATCCGACCAAAATTTCTGCTTGTATTTGTTCAGGTAAATGTGATGAAAAAATGAACAATGTAATTGTGATCGATTTCCGATCTTAAAACATCTCTTGTTCAGTAATGAATATTGAATGTAACAGAAAAACAATGTTTGGATGAAAATATACTTTGAGCTAATTGACTGAAGGCAATATAATGTGTTCAATGACAATAATGTTGAAGACAAAATCATCATTATTGACAAGATGGAAACACTATCCTTTAGGTTCACTTGTTGTCATCCTATCAAGTCAAGTTATGCTCAGGTCATTTAGATGATGAGTTGAAAGAAGAAATAAAACAACTTGTCGTCTTCAATGATGACTGATTTCACAGTTGACTTGACTTGATTGGCCATTGAATTTATCAGCCATTATTCATTTATCATGAAAACTGTATCGGCGTCATTTTTCATTTCGCACTTTATTTGTCTTTCATCAAGTTTATGAAAACATGATAATTCTCTATCGTATATTGAGATGATAAAAAGGTACACTTTTTTGTGTATTAAAATATTCGTTGATGTTGTACATTTAGTTTCATCATTTTATCCATAATTGATTTTGTACTCAAAGTGGATGCCAAAAGTGTGAAAGTATTAAGTGCAAGTGAGTATGAAAAGCTGTAATAAATGATAGTGTTTAATCTATTTAAGGTAAAATTCTTATTCAGAATCACACCTGAAACCATGATGTGGCATGGCCAAAGAGTAATATGTTGATGAAGATGAAGTTAGAAATTGAATGATTTCCGGATGAATGATTAACTATAAACTTTTTTCTTCTTTCTTCCTTTTCTTATTCTTCTTCTTTCTCCTTATTCATCTATAATCAACTTGAAGGTAAAAATAATGTTTTCAATATTCCGTTGTATCAAATGTGTATTATAACTGAAATATGTATATTGAATATTGAATACATTTTTGGTACAATATTTAATCACTTGATAGCAAGAAAATGGATAATATCATTTTTCTTGATACTTTTACTTTCAACAAAAACTCTTTCATTTATCATGGTATTGAACCATTTTCAATGTCAATTGTTTTTTGATTTTTCACTCAATAGAAGCAGGCCAATAATGAAATGAGGAAAATGGTTACAAAGGCTAACCACAAATTGTTTCATCAAGTTATCATGAAATTGATCAATTTAATGTTGATGCAAGTTTGATTGAATAACTGGCATGAGAATCTCGTTGTTAGGTTACCTAACTTTACCTGGTTAAATATTAATGAAAAGAAACCATTGCCTTAACTGTGTAAGAAGAGTTAAGATTTAATTACCTCTTGTAGTTAATTGCTTACCCATTTATGCTTTAGCTGATTTGCATGTGAAGGGAAAACAGGTAAAACAGAGTAAGACGAAGCAACATTTATTTATGTTTCTGCTTCTTCACCTTATTCATCATCATCATCCTCTTCTTCATCATTTTCATCTTTTCTCTTCCTCTTTTCCTTTTACCTCTTGTTGGATAAAGTCATCTATTGTTTATTTTTATGCTTGATTGTGTTAATGGTTAAGCTTTTCAAATGAAGCCAACACACGCACAATCAAGAAAAGGTAAAGGTAAAGTGGTTTCAGTGCGTAATCATTGGTTAAATGATTTACCAAGCTGATTGTGTTTGACTTGTCCAGCTTTCGAGTTTCCATCATTAAAATCATTTTCATCAATCAGCAACTCTTTTTTATTCTGTTTTCTCATTATCCTTAATCTCCAATTCAATAATCATCATCATTAGTAATAAATCTGTGCAATACTTTATCAAAAAAAGTTAATGAAACATTAATAATCTGGACGATCCTCAAGATTTTAATTTTCAACTCTTTTCCTTTCTGATGAAAAATTCCATTTTACATTTTCAATTGCTTACATGCAAGTGGTCAAATGTATCCTGAATTTATATTAAGAGGAGTAAACTGAATTATGAATAAAATAATAAAAAACATGAAAGCACTTGGATTGCGTTTGATTTTATGAGTCAATTGAATGAAAATTGGGACAACCTTAAATAATATTGCAAATGAAAATCAAGATGAACTCTTGTCAATTCAAACAAGCATGCTCTTTAACCAATGCAGAACTGAACAAAAAATAATGAGCAAACCAATGCTACATGAAAGTTTACTATTGGAAAAGAGACATTTCTCATTCTTTCTATTCTTCATTCCCTCTGTCATACTCTCCTAATAGCATCCAAACTCAAATATATTTTATTATATTGATTTCAATAACGATTATAAATCTTTCATTGAAGATTAATTTGTAAAACTGTCGTCTCTGTGTATGTTGATCGTTATAGCATCTTTATTAGTATTAGTTGACATTTTCCTCATCATTATATCTTATTGATTTTGAAAAGTGAAAATTTAGCTTCATTAGTAATTTCAGAAATAATAAAAAGAAAATGGCAAAAAATTAAATATTCTGTAAACAATTGTTCTTAGCAACCAGTTGCTATAGACACCAAGGCTATGAAAAACACAATGAATTTCAGGCAGAATTGATGTTCACCATTTTATCATAAATTTACGCTATAAATGAGGTTTACCATATAAATATTGTCCTTCTGCAAGTTGATTACAGGGAAATTGACTCTATCAATGAAATTGTTAATGTACTCATTACAATTTCATCATCATCATCTCCTTCTCATAATTCCTTCTTTTCTGCATATTCCATCCCATTTCTGTCTTTTATCTGCAAATTTTGTATTTCTTCATGAATTCACCTCACGTTATCTCAACATTTCTTACATTGAATCACTATTTTACCTACATAGAAGTTGAGTAAAACTCAAATTCTAAGACTATCATTGATTAGATAGAAGTTTATTCTTACTTCCGTTGCACTCTCTTCTCTTACATGATGATGTTGATTATAATCATCATTATCATCCTTCTTACTCTTTCTGTTTATGGTAAAGATTTTCATTACCATTCATCTTGTTTATGTTAATAAAATGAGAAGAAGAAGAGAAGAGCGAGAGAGAGAGAGAGAGAGGAATGGAAGAGCAAGAAATGATCAATGGTAAGAAATGATTAACCATGGGTTGATGAACAGGGAAAACAGAAGCAAAAAGAGAATTGATAAGTTGATAATTCTATTCTTTTTCCTTTTTTCATCTTTATCTATTTCTTTTTCCTCTTGTTTCCTCGTTTTCTTCATCATTATCATCATCAGCATCTTCAACGTCTTCTCCTATCAACCATTTAAATAAACCTTTGTTGATTAACTTAACAATCTTTCTGTTCAGTTGGGTTTACTTTTCCCTGTAATCAAAAAGTTTTGTTGATTTTAGCTGCTAATGTTTACATGATGAGATTATTACCTCATTTGAATTGACCGATAGATTTATTCATCTTCCTCTTCCTCTTCTTTTCCCTTCTCTCCATCAGTAGTAACAGTTACAAAATAATCGTCATCATTATCGTTATTATTTTAGTTGTGAGTCTTTTATTCAACATCTATTTATCGACAATGATTCATTTTGACATTTAACTCAGACTCAATTGATCGTCTGAATAAATGTCTCAGAAATTTTGATTGCAATAACACATTGAATCTGTTATTATTATCATCAATATTTAAACAGAAATGTTTTTATTTATTATTTACTCGATTATGCACAAATGCTTCTAGCATTTTTGACCAGAATTTCAATGAGAATCACCAAAATGTCCAAAAGGTCCTAAATTCTGAGCCTTTTTCACTTCTCTGCCTTTAAATCTCTTCAACATCATGTTTGTCTCTCAAGTGTATAATATTGCAAAACCAAACCCCATTACATTTAATATTTCACTTTACAAATGTATTTATTTTTCTCGTTTCACTAAATGTTGATTTAAATTATGTATTTCACTTTTTACCTTTACCTTTGCTCTTTTCATTTTCAGATTCAGACAGTGATGAAAATCAAGATGACAAAGATGACCGAAATTACGATGAAGATGATGAATACTATGGCGATGAATATCAAGATGATGACGAAGAGGATGACGAAGAGGCTGCTCTAAAAGCCAAATCTACAAGTACAACAACAACAACCACAACTACCACCACAACAACCACGACAACCACTGAAAGACCAATTGACCATTATCTTAGTCACTTTGATTCGAATCATGAACACGACTCTTACAAAGCAGCTCAAAAATCACTTGAAGAAAGTCACCGAGACAAGGTTACAAAGGTAAATTAATGAGAATACAAGAAAAGAAAGAATGGTCCACTGAATAATTAGGATCGAATGATTTGATGGACCCTTTTAAGATGAAAAATGTAATGATTGACTATTCGATAGTCACTTAAATGAATTGAATAAGCTCATCAGTAACAATTGTCATGTTAATGTTGTAATGCTAATAGAGTGGGATCAAGTATTGGAAAAAAAGAATGAATTGATTGAAGAAAATGTTTTGATGAAAATTTGATTTAAATTTATTTTGACTATTGGAAAAGACGATGACAATGAATAAAAGCAGAAAAACATTTACATGATTCTTGTTTCTACAAGTTACTATGCTTTTTGGCCCTCAGGTTAAGATGCTTATTTACTTGCAAGAAGATCCATTAACTCATTCTTTTCTTTCTTGTTCCATCACTTGAAACCAATTTTTATCCTCTCATCCTTCTTTTCATCAGCATAATCATGTTCATAATAAGCATTTGATTAATCTTTCTTTCTTTCTTTCTTTCACATCAATTCTGTATTCTATGACAGGTTATGAAAGAGTGGAGTGAATTGGAAGAAAGATACCAGGAGATGAAATTAAAGGATCCAAAAGGTGCAGCTGAATTCAAACGAAAGATGACATCTCGATTCCAGAAAACAGTTGAAGCTCTTGAAGAGGAAGGTTCAGCTGAAAGGCGTCAATTGATCTCGATGCACCAACAGAGGGTTATGACGGTGATTAACATGAGGAAAAAGGCAGCAATGGATTGTTATACCCAGAGCTTGGATCAAACTCCATTAAAAACGAAACGAATTGAAAAATGTTTGGAAAAATTGTTACGAGCATTGGAAAAGGACCGAACTCACACTCTTCACCATTTCCGTCACCTCCTCACCTCAAATACCAAGCAAGCTCTTCGAGAAAAATCAGCCATGTTGGATCATCTTGAAAACTTACTTCGAATGGGCAATCACTCAATTCTCATGTTGGATCGAGTTCCTTCCATTTCAAGTAAAATCCGAGAACGAATAATCACTTTCTGGCATAATTTACGAGGCATTGGTGTTGACGAAATTATTTCCAGGGAAACTGAACAAGCTATTATGGAACGGTATGAGGAAGAAGTGGCTCAAAAGCAGCAGGAAAGAGAGCGACAAAAGATGTTGGCCGAAGAACGTCAACAAGAATTGAAAGATTTGGAAGAGAAGAAGATGGTTGAATCATCCATCAATAATGAGGGTAAATCATCACCAGACACTGAGCCATCATCGGCAGAACTCTCTGATGGAAATTCACCTTCGTCATCTTCCTCTTCTTCATTACTGCAATCCTCATCCTCATCTTCCTCGTTATCATCTCTATCTTCTTCTTCCTCTTCCTCTTCTTCTTCCTCCTCATCAGCATCACTTTCAACAACCTCGGAAAGTGATGAATCTGAGACTAATCATTCACCATTTGGTGCCTCCACTTCATCACCATCAGTCTCAGGAGGCTCAGGAGGAATAGTCCCAATCACTGAATCACCGGTAACCTCATTGAATGGAGGAATACTTCCAGTTCAAGAGGATAATGCTGAAGAAAGTAATGCAGTTCACAAAATTCTGCCCACTCCTAAGATAGCTTATATCCATAATCAAGGTTTCCATCATAATGAGATGGTTAGTAAATTTACCTTTATTGTTTATCTTTTCATTCACCGAAACCATTCCATGTAATCCATTCCACAGAATCATTTTTTGTTATTATTTTCATTCTTAATCCACCTAAATTAGACTAATGAGGAAATATTGAGTTTAGATAATTGCAGTACTAGGAATCAAAGGAATCATCTTTTACGTTTTTCATATTTACATTCATCAATAGCAATAAATTATCCAAATGATCTGCACAAGGATATACGATTATGTTGCTTTTATGCTTGTATGTTGTTTAAAACTAACCCAACAATTTAACTCTGTTTACTCAATCCTTAGGGTAAATCACATCAATATTTCATTAGTTATTCAGTTTCTCAATTAAATCATGTATCTAAACCAATGTCTACCCATAAAATTGCAATCAAGATCTACTATTTCCTGTACCTCTTCAATTTACATGGCATTTTCTCTTGTTTTTTATCTTTTTTCCCATCAATTTTTCCTTTAATGCACCACTTGTACTTTATCAAATTGCCATTGTTTTTGCATTTTCAATCTCGACTTTTGCCAATTAACAATTTGTGTGACTCTTGAATAATGAATTTATCTATTAACTCTTTGTTTTCTTTTACAGTCCTATTCAGTGAGAAAAGAACCTTACCATCCAATGAAGTGGAATGGAAGTGTTTACATTACCTTGGCCTTTGCAGGCATCGCACTTTTAATGGCAACCATAGTTGGTATTGTTTTGCTTCGTAATCATCGACAAAGATCACCTTTAAGTCAAGGATTTGTTGAAGTTGATCAAGCCGCGTCACCAGAGGAAAGGCATGTTGCTAACATGCAAATTAATGGATACGAGAATCCAACATACAAATATTTTGAGGCGCAAAATGCTTAAACCCGTTATTTGATTAACTTTTAACCAACAAATTACAACCACAAATAAGACCACCATTAAGAAAAACAACTACAATAACAGCTGGAACTAGAATCCAATGAGCAGCTAAAGAAGGAAAAGAAAACAAAATTAATAATTTAAATGTGTTTGTTTTTTGTTTCGATGTTGCTAAGTCAAAATTAATTTCTCTCTTTTTCTCACTCTAAATATCATCAGTTTCATTGAAGATGATAAAAAGGATGAGGATGAAAGGGAAATATTGCGAGCCACTAAAAACACCAAAATAGGCAACAATAACAAAATAACATTATAAATAGTATATATTATAAATATGATAAACCTTGATAGTATGGATCTGCATAAGATTACTGTATTAACTGAATTTCAAATCAAGGCTGAATAGGGATCCAAGAAAAACAAACGAACCAAAAACAGGAAAATTGAAGCAACTTGTTTTTGGTAATTTACTAACCCTTTTAGACATTAACATCCAATTTCATCAAGCAAACCCTCACAAATTAATCCTTTAACACCGGCAACAAAAAGACACTTGACTTGCTTTTATATGACATATTACAATGAGTTACCTTGTCTCAAGTTTTCATCAATTCCCCTCCTTGTCTTCTTCACCTTCCCTCCAACTCTTGCCTTTCATCGTCTTCTTCTAACCTCTTCGTGATCCGTTTTCAAGAAAAAAATGAACTTTTGAAGAAATCATTTGTAGTCTAATTAATCAACTTATTGAAATGGTGTAACTCGTTTTATCTCCCTTTTATTCTGATCCAAAATTGTCTCTGTCATGATAGTTGAACATTTTTCCTCTCTAAATATGTCCCATTGTGAAACAAACAAATCAAAGGTTTATATATATTGTCACAAAACTGGTCCTAACCTCAACTCTTTGCTTTCATGTCTCACCCATCAACCTCACCAGCTTCATTGTTCATCAAGCGCACCCGGTTTAACCATTTTTGTTTCTTTTTATTCGATTCTCTTTCATCTTCATCATTCACTTCATAACCACCAAGGATTGATTAATCAACAACAAGCAAAGCTTAACTCTTTTCAATCATCTTCGTGATTGATTTTCACCACCAATTCAGTGTTCATCTCTTTTGAACCATTGCCTGGCTTAATCTGGAAACATTCAGTTAACTTAGATGATGGTTTAATCATAATGATGATGAAAAGGATTAAAAGATGACAATTATAACTCGATTGCAGGTTAACAAAAAAGGCAGCTACAAGTGATGAAGATGAGATATTCTGATGAAGAGTAAAGATGTTGCAAATAATAAAGCTAATAAAATTACCTTTATTTCTTTCTTCATCTTCGTTCTTAGCCTATCAAATTCGTCATCACAATTATCAACCCTTTACTTTTCGCATTAGCTTCATTGAGATCAACATTATTAGGATCCTGCTTTTCTTTCATTTCAAACCCTTTTATTCATTTTCATAATCTCGACTGAGAGAGCTTAAATCCTATTCCATTCCCTACCTTTAACTTTACCTCTACCTTTTCCAGGTACTTTTTTTATAAAGTGAATCCATGGTAATCACAGGAATTGAGTTTGTTGCAAAAACAAAAACAAACCAGGAAAACGAAAAGAAGGAAACTAAAATTTCAAACATCATTCTAGGTATTAAAAGGGTCCAGGATAAAGACTAATTACTAAAACAATAATTTAGTGATTGGTTTACCAGTTTTAGTTGCACAAGAGCTTTTAGGTTAACACTGAAAACCTTAAAATCTCAACATCATCTTGATCATTGAACCTGCCTTGAAGAGATCAACTAATGAAAATTATCAGAAAGAAATGTTTTTTTCCATGTGATTACCAGATTCACTTGAGTTCCTATCAAGTTTTACTTATTTCATATCGATTTATTGCCATATTTCAATTGATTCTTTTCAATTAATCCCAATTTACATTCCTAATTTACCATTTTATCAACCAATTTATTTCGCCATGCCTTCAAAATAAATTATCATCGCTACTTAAATTGTATCAATAGGCTCATCATATTGATTATATTTTTTGTTTTGTTGCGCTTCAAGCTTCATCATATTTTGGACCTTTTTTCTACTTTTAATTAATTATTAATTTTAAATCAATTATTCCAACCCTCTTGTGTTGCTATAAATGTAGCCAGTAAATTTGTGTTCAATTGCCATCTACATATTATTATATAAATGATTTTCATTATAATCAGATTCAACACACACTTATTCAAGTGATGAAGCAAAGTTTGCTTTCCTTTTCTCATCTTGCAAAACCTTTACCATTGCCAATGTAACCCCAATTTCAGTTTAAATAATATTTAATTGCCATTACAATTAGTATTATCCTTTGATTTTCAACATTCCTCAAAATATCGATCATTTCCCGGTCTATGATGTTCAATTGAATTCCCATGAAAATTGATCACTTTAATTGTAAACCCAAAAAAAATCTGTAATTTTACTTCTGTTTTTTAATTTTCAATTTATATAACACATTATGAGTTAACCACATTTCATCTGATTTCTTGCTTCTATCAATTTATCCTCTTCCACAGATTCATTATCAACATTAAGCTTTTAATTTCAACAAACTGAACATTGAAAATGCCTAACAACGACCATGAAATTTCCTCAGTCTTGTTTGCAAAGTCATTCTCTTTTCATCTCAACCTCTCCTCAACCTAAATAACCTTATTTTCCAACAAAAAATTCAATTCCGTGGTGAGAATTATCAATTTCTGTTCAGCTTTGCTCCTTTTTTTCTAACAAAAATGACAACTTGAAAAAAAAATTCAACCAAGCTGATGACACTTTATCATAACGAATCACTAGATGATTACTTTCTGTTAAATTTCTCTTCTTCTTGATTGACGCAATTGTTTCCTTGATTTTCCCTGGGATCACAAATTTGCAAATTTCTGGTCCAAGTCAAAGATCCTTGCACAAAACACTCTTACAAAGACAAACACTAAGCATACAAACACCAACCAAGACTGGAAAACCCGGAGTAGCATTGGTTTACACAACGATAGAACCAGAAGATTATCAATTAGTACCATAAATTTATCTCCAGAAATCAACGGAAAAATGTCAATTACGAATAATGTTTTTACCTTAACTTGGAAATACTTGGAGAAATTTCATTTCAGATTATTTAATACTTACTCTAAGACGAAACAAAACTGTGCCCATCTTATGTACTCTTATTATCTTTCTTTAACCATCTGATTTTTTCCCTGAAAATTTATAAATTAATATGATTATCTTTTATTTCTGCGTCATCAACTAAATAAACCTCATCTCTAATTAATTAATAAACTTCTCCTGTGTTTCACCTATAAAACAATATTGAAATCTCTCCTGAATTCAATTTCAACTTTACGCTTTCAATTTGTTTCACTTTTGGAGTCAATTTTTCCCAAATTATTCATTATTGACTATAAATATCAACATTAATCTTGAAAGTTAACTTCAGCTTTAACCTTCAATGATTAACTATTGATTTTAATGTTCCATTATTCCAATCACTTTGATAGTAGATGAGCATGAATGTTTATAATAGTAATAATGGTTAATTTAATAATCATTATTGGTCACTATTTTTCTGGGTTAGAGTTAACGTTAATATTGCACTTCCCATCGACAATTAATCTATCCTTTTTATTCAATTATTGAATATTGATTTCTAATACACTTTCCTCATTCATTTCACTTGTTTTTTAATGTAAAAAGATTCGAGCTTTTAACAAAATTGGTTAATCTATTTTTAACTACATCTTTAAAAGTTTTATTGATTTTTTTGGTACCGGCTCTGAAATGATATTCAATTTTATACAAAAGACAAGGCAACGTTATTTTGGCTTGTATTGAGGGGATTAAATGTTTTTGCAAGTTTAATTTATTTTTAAATCTACTATTTAGATGCCATAATTATCTTATTAGTTGTCAAACTTAAATTGAATGCGTGATTCTTCTTTCTCTCAGCCAATTAACATAAGCGTCTAAACGTTGTTTGTTAGTGAGTGGACCAGGGAAATAATAATTTTCTTGTGGTGGACCTTCTACCAGAGCATAAAATAAATGCGTATGGAAGCATCTAATCTCTCCCATTCGAAACCGTGCATGTTTCCTTATGCCCTTAAATACGACTCCTTTAGTAGCATGACACTGACCAATCCACATATTTGATTTAAATTCGAATAATCCAGTGGCCATCGCTTTTTCCTGTGCTTCCTCTAACACTTCTTTAGCTAAAACAGCTCCTTTCTTAGGTATAAAAGAAAGTTGTTTGATAGCTTCATCGACTGATAATCCTCTGACCAAACAGCAAATATACCACATTTTCTTTGGCGAATATTTAATGTTATCCCTAGAAATTCAAACATTGAGATATGATTATTAATCAGTTTTTGTTGCAATGGTCTATTGTAAAGATGAATCAATAGCTTACCTAACATGATAATAAACTGCTCTTCTTTTAGGTTCGTCAGGTGATTGAGGTTCAAGCATATAATCGTTCATTTGTAACCATCTTTTCGGTGTTGGAAAAGGATCCTTGGCTGATTCAAAATTTTTGTGATAAGTGAATACAGATGAAGAGGTAAACACATTTCGACATCCTAAATGCCTAATAATATTACATCTTATGATCATCTTGTGTAAAGCAAAGACACAAGCGTGTGTACAAACAAAAACACGAGAATATATTCACAATTGGAGAATCTCAACTGGTTTCTGGTTATCGATAGTATCGACCTTATTCGATAGTTAATTTATCCTAGCGATAGTTATCGATTAACAACAACAAACAACACTAATAAGAATTACTCTCATGTTTTCATAAGAGTTTTCGCAATTTTTTTGTTTTTTTTGTTAAATTACATTTACATTTAACAGTGTGAAGTTTCAATAAATTTCGAATCATGGCGTCTTACCATGGACAACAACCCGGTCACCCTCCTTCATCCTCTATCGGCCCATCTGCTCCTCCTGTTTTACCTGAAATTGAAAGTACAACGCTTTTGTGTAAATGGGGCCAGGATATTGTTCAAGATATAAATGTGAGAACTTCTGAAATATTTTCTCTATTGAAAATTATTGTACCACCCTCGGGTAACTCTATGCAAACTCAAATTCTGGATGAGAAAAAAGCAAAGATTGCAGAACATATGAAAATGATTGAAATAATGTTTAAAAAGTTGAAGATAGTTTATGATGAAGTCATTAAACAATCGGCTCCATATGAATACATCACAGTGGATAGTTTAATTCCTTACAAAGAAGGTCCAGAATCTGGAGCTGGAAGAACATTATTCAATGAAAATAAAAATCAAGATGAAAATTTACTAGCCAAACGAAATCAACTTGCAGCAACATTGAAAGAAAAGAATCAACACTTGAAAATGATCATCAACAAACTGCGAAACTTATCTTTCGATATTAACACGATGTTGGCAATGAAAAAACGTTGAATACTTTGAATTAGTGAAATATTTATTACAAGTAAAATTTGTTACAACTGTATAAACTGTCTCTTCCCGTCTCTTCACTTTCCTTAATTAAACGACTTTTTAAATTCATAACTCCTGAAGAACAATCATATTCAATTTCCAGATCTATCAGCGCATCTTTGTTAAACACTTCATCTGCGAATCTAGAATGAAGAATGGCCATTCCTTGTTTCCAATTTTTGCACCATTCGATATATTGATCACAAATAATTTTTTCCACTGGACCAGTTGATAATTTTTTATCACCGAAATCGTACTCAGTCCAAAATGCTAGGCCTATATTATTATACTCATTGGAATTCCCAATTTGCATAATTTTTCTAAAATTATATCTAGAACGTGTTGTTACCCTCTCATCTCTAAAATCAAAATCAAAAAGAGTTATTGGCTTGTCGGATAAAGCTTTGCACGGATATTCCCATAGCGACTTTGATTCTATCGGTGAATCACAAAGTTCACGGGCTTTTTCCAATAAACTATCGAAATCTGCCAAGTCAAATCCTTCTACATTTCGCAATTCAGCTTTTATTTTCCACAAATTATCAAAAGCAACAGGTAACATAACAACTCGACCTTTCGATGGATATATTTTCGTTTTAATTGTTACCATTCCTCTTTCAGCCATATCCCCAATCAGGTACCAAAAGTGAAAAGCATCCCATGGTAAAATAATTGAGTTGAAGAAAGGTTCGGCGATGATCAGATCAAACTGTATCTGCTCAATATCACTAATGTCGTCTGCAATTACCAATCTATCCATTATCTCATTGGTACGTCCAAACTCTTCGTAGAATCTTTTATTCACCATTTGTCCTCTGTTGATTACATAAACTTTGCCAGATTCATGTAAATCTTTTCCTAACAAAACTGGAATGAGACTAGCATCGCCCAAAAACAATATGTTCAAATCACGTTTGCCGAAAATTTCGATGAAAACGGGAGGATAAATTACTGACAAAACTCTTTCGTCAGCCATCATTCTAATTCGATTGCGGCTCAAATCATTGTGAATACCACAAGAACAAAAATTTGAACTATCCGATTGCTTTCTAGAACCAACATCAAACCAAAAGCTGAATTCGTCATGGTTACAATACAATTCGAAAATTTCGTTAGAATTCATTTTAAATGGTTCATGATAAGCTGGTAAATAGTAAATTGCTTGCATCCAATGGTCTCTCCAAGGAATCCTATTTTTAGTTCCAATTATATCTTTAGCCGGATGGGCCCAGTAAGGTGCACAACTTAAAACATATTCAGATTCATCATCCATAAATAAATCCCACCAGAAAACAATGTTCACAAATTCAGAGTTTAGAGAATTCTTGAGAATAAACTTAAGCGTTTTTTGTTCGTCATATTTCAATGAGTCTGATTTAGAAAAATCAAAGACAAAGGCTATCATAGGATCCGAAATAAGTTCAATATCTTTGCCCACTTCTAATTGATTCGCTTGAAGATCATGCAAATGGTTGGATCCATAACAGTTGATAATAGATTTAGGTATTTCTATGTTCAATTTTTTTCCATCAATGAAAATTCCTTTAGGAGCCAAACAATGTCCGTTGTTCAACCATGATGATTTCACTAACTGAACCCAAATGCGAGCTTTGTGTGGAATAACGAGAGGATTAAGTTTGCATTGCTCAGTCAAAGCAACTTTGAACACTCTCAAGGCTCCTTCACCAATTAATTCAGTGTCAAAAATCTCGCTAACAATAAGATCTGCTCGTTCATCAGGGTCAAATGGATCAACTTCATCAGATCTCGAATTGATGACTGTGATGGTTTTATCGAAGTTATTTCTTTTTATCACCTTTTCAGCACATTCGGCCATTGGAGAGAAACATTCAAAGGCAGTAACCGCTACTCTATTTAAGTTCGAACCAAATTCTCGACAAACCATCATGGATAAGAGTCCAGTTCCAGTTCCAATATCAATTACGCGGATCTTCTCTGTAGGTTTTTTGATCGACATCAATCTCTCAACATACTTTTTGATTGCTTTGTTGTACAATATATTTCTTTCTTGGTCCCAGAGCATCTCACCGTAACCAGATAGCGATATCTCCTGCATGAAATCATGATCTTCTGTTAAATTAGTCAACTCTAAATTATTAGTCAAGGGATTAAATTTTTGGGTAGAAACAAGTCGGTTGCTAGTCATTGAAATTAATTGAATGAATTCTTAAGCAATAAGATGCAAAAAGACATAAATATAATAGAGACACGAGTTATGTCACACTGTTTTGAATCAGACTAAACTAGTTAAGTTGAGCAGTTTATAACAAACTGTTGTATAACACTGTTGGAATTACAGTTACAAACTTGGTAAAATGTAATGCATCGATTGATACCGGAACAATTACCGATATATCGACGCCAGTGAGCGCTTTTCACCATAAATTTGAATTACTATTGCTAAGTTTCTGTTAGAGACCAGTTGTTACTGGTAACCGGTTATTTGGTTAGAGGGTGAGAAAAGTAAATCAGTATGGTTACTATAATCAGTTACTTGCTGGTAACATCAAGATGGAAATATGAAAAGAAAATTCAGAATTTTGAATGCTTTCTAAGCATATCTTTTAGATTGCGCTGATAAAAGATGAAAATTTAATTTTTTTATTTAGAACCATTTTTGATCTGAATTTGGTGGCAAGAAATTCGTAACCAGCAAATAACCGTTTTTTTGTAACTGGGGGTGAAAGAACCATAGTTACTGGTTATATTAACCAAACTAACGTGTAACCAACGTATCGCTAGTCTTTCTGCTGCAGTCCAGTTGTCATAGGTACGCACATTTAAACTCAAATGAGAGACGGCGCCATTAAAATCCGTATGACATCTGAAAACAGATGAATCCGAGTTCTTAATAAAGTAATGGGAAATGTTTATCTGATTATAGTTTAATCAAGTTCTTTTATTTAAATTATTCGTAAATAAATATAAATATAACAGTTTATTTGCCAATGAACAAGCGGTTCATCATTTTATGTGGAATTTTTTAAATATCAAAACATTAGCTGTTATGTCACTAAATACTATTAAAAGTCGTCTTCGAGGTGCAGTGCCAAACGATAATACCTCTGTTGACATTAAACCAGTGATAAAACGAACTCGCAGAGCTCATTTAACTATTGAAGATGAAAAAGTGTATAAAGTAGAAGTGAAAGTTGAACCTAACAAAAGAATCAAGGAAGAAATTCAAAAGATATCAACAGAGGAAATTAACAAATCTGAATCATGGACTCCTGCCAATTTCAATACAATTTATGATAATATAAAAACTATGAGAACCTGGGTTGAAGCTCCAGTTGACACGATGGAAGGTAATACAGCAGAGAAACCGAAAGGACCAAATGAAAGATTCCTTGTTTTATTTAGTCTCATGATATCTTCTCGTACTAAAGATACTTTGAACATTTCCAAAATGAAAGAATTAAAAGCGAAGGGTTTGAGCTTGCAATATGTTCTAAACAAATCAGTGGACGAACTAGCACAAGAAATCAAACCTGTCAATTATTACAATAACAAAGCTAAATTTATCAAAAAAACTGCTGAAATATTAGCTGAGAAATTTAATGGTGATATACCTAAAACTATTGAAGAGTTGAAATCATTACCTGGAGTTGGACCCAAAATGAGTTACCTTTGCTTGCAATCTGCTTGGAATATTACAGCAGGAATTGGTGTTGATACTCATGTCCATAGACTATCCAATCTATTCAAGTGGGTTCGTAAACCAACCAAAGATCCAGAAGATACTAGGAAGGATTTGCAATCTTGGTTGCCCATTGAATTATGGGATGAATTAAATCACCATTTGGTCGGTTTCGGTCAAACTATCTGCTCGCCCTACAAACCAAGATGCGAAGAATGTCTCAACAACAAAATATGTCCTGGAGCTTTCAAATACAGAACTAAAAAGTCGAAAGAAACTCCATGAACAGTACACATCCATTTTTCATTCTCATCTTTTCCCAATAATGTTGAAGATATTTTGGATTTTATCTTTTTTAAATATTTTTTTAATCTGTTTTCATTACATTTAATTTGCATTCAGTGAAACCAATTTCATATTGAAAAAACTTTTCATAAACGCAACAAATCTTACTTCTAATTAGCTGATCTTAAATATTATAAACTATGATAATGTTGTTTCTTCAAATTTGAAACGCATGTATCATTCATCTGTGAAGAAATAAAAGTTAAATATTAATATTACATTTTGAATTGTTGGTTTACTCGTTTTTCAATTTGTTCACTCTAATTTAATATTACACCATTTGTACAATCAAACAGTAAAGGTTTTAATTACACCAGGAATATTAATGTAGAAGTAGACAGTTGCAAGAGAATATGTTATTTATGAATCGAATACCCTCGATTTGAGATTTTCAAAGGTACTCAATCATTAATTACAAAAAGTTAATTGGCGTTGAAAAAGTCATAATATAAAATGATAATTCAAGCTGAAATAAAAAATTAAGGAAACTTTGATAAACTATAATGAAATTTGCAAGTGGAGAAGGGGAAAATCTATGACCGTCCATGCCGTCGAATAATTTCATTATGAGACTGGATTTTTTCAAATAAAATCTTCTTTAATCTATTCTCATTAAGAAATCATTCCATTGACAAAATTCTGATATAGCTTAATAATTCACTTAGATTGCATCATTCTATTCATGAAAAAGGGACAAACTCCTCAGAGTCTGAGAAGAATCAAGAACAAGAGAGAATATCAATAAAAAGGAAAAAATTCACGAACCAAAGTAGTTGCACTTATTTACTTGATCAAGTTTCATGTAAATTGGGATCAATTTTCATCTTTACAAGTTAACCAGAAAATTAAACAAAACTTGTAAGTATATTAAATTGGTTTGAAGGATAGTCATAACAACCATAACCCTTGATAACCAACAAATCCTTTATAATATTAAATAATTCTAGAACCAGTTGAATCTAATTTATTGTTGTGTTTTATAGCTTCTATTCAAGTTAACTTCTTCGATTCAAAATCTGTACTCCTTTTCTATCACCGGCTAAGATTATCAAACAGATAATCATGTCCCCAAAAAAATCGAAAGCCGGTGGCGATGCAAACAAAGCAATTATACTTCATAAAGCAAAGGATCTTCGATTGGAAAACACTTCGATGCCAAGTCCTCCTGGTCCTGATGGTAAGCTATTTCCTTTAACTGAATACAACATTGAGTTTAGAAATCAAGTTCGACCGACTCGATGTTATGAGTTAATTTGAGTTTATCGCTAATTTCACCCGACGTTGTCTCTTTTATCCATTAATGTAATTTATCAGAGGTCCAGTTACGAGGTGAATATTGTGGTATCTGTGGTACTGATGTTCATCTTTGGCAAGAAGCAAAGCTAGGCATTTTTGAGGTACAAAAACCTCTCATCTTGGGTCATGAAGCTTCAGCTACGGTAATTGCTGTTGGTCAAAATGTTACTAATCTCACCGTCGGTGATCCAGTTGTAATTGAAAATGCAGTTCCTTGTTGTCGGTGTAAATTTTGTCTCCAAGGTACTTACAACTATTGTGAAGCTTGCACAGTTCAAGCTAAAGGATTACCACCGGCGGATGGATTGATTCAACAATATTATAACCATCCAGCTGCTTTTACACACAAGTAAGTTGTTAATTGTAATTCTGAATATTTTAAGTTACATCAAATTGCCAAAACTGTATCTTTTTTATGCCTCCAAAACCGTAAGATCTGGAATAACGATTGATTGTGTTATTAATATAAAAAAACTTTTAGTAATGGTCGATAATTATAAAGCTAAATTTAGGTTTGTGTTAGTACAAAATATCTATTCAAATTTACTCAGGCTTTTTGTTATCATTGGGTCTTAATAATATGTTACAGGTAAATTGGGAAATAGCAATCTATTTAATGGAAACATAATAAGTAGCAGTAGTCAAATCAACTCTTGCTTTCGTAACACCCTCTAATAATATTGAGAAATTTTCAGTGTATCCAATCAATTGTTATTGAGCTTATTGATATTATAATTTTGTCGACTTGAACAGTAATTTAAGCTCAAATGGAAATAGTTTCAGATATTTAGTTTTGTCTCGTAATGATATTATTATAATATTAATTTCGATTTGGGTTATCCTCAGAATTCCTCCAACTTTGCGTCTTGATGTTGCTGCTTTAGCTGAACCATTGGCTGTCTCGGTTCACGCTTGCAATCGAGCAAAGGTTACATTTGGACAGAAGATATTAGTTTGTGGTGCTGGAACTATGGGTTTATTAACATTCTTGACAGCAAAAGCCTACGGAGCCTCAAGAATTGCGATCTTAGGTATCTTTTGATTATATCATTTGAAATTTCAATAAACCCAACACATTCTGTTTAAACCTTTTCTTTTCCATCAAGATATAATGCAAAGTAAATTGGATAAAGCAATTGAACTTGGTGTTGATGGGGTTATTTTGAGCCGTAAAGGAATGACAGCGAAAGATCTATCGGATATGGCCATAACATCTCTTGGTGGACATCCTGATATAACCATGGAGTGCACTGGTTCAGAAATTTGTGTCAACACCGCAGTTGAGGCTACTCAGTGTGGTGGTAAAATTATCTTGATAGGATTGAATCCTAATAAATTGTCTCTCTCTATGAGCAAAGCATCGCTTAAAGAGCTTGATCTTCTTGGTGTTTGTCGATATAGAAACAGGTAGGAAATACAGTTAATTAGTTCTAATGAATTCTAATGATTTTTTATTTCTTACAGTTACCCGCAAGCTGTCGAGTTGTTGAGCAGTCGGCCTGAGTTTGAGAAGTTCATCACGCACACCTTTCAGCTTGACCAAGCTATGGATGCATTTGAATCAATGCAAAAAGGCGAAGGTTTAAAAATTGTAATCAAATGCAACTGACCAAGTTCAATCGATATCCTCTTTAATATCAATTATTCACTAATAACATTTTGATTTAAACTCTTTTAACTTAAATATAATGAAAAATTGCGATTAACGTTTCACTCATTGATTAATCACTACTTAAAAAATCAATATAATGGTGATTCTATTAAAAATTAAATTTTCAACATTATACTTTGTTTGCATTCAACAATTAACCGTATTTTTTGTTCTGCATAAATCTTTTGCATGTTTAATTCATTTTCAAATCTACTATTTACATGCCATTATCTTATTAGATGTCAAATTTAAATTTAATTCTTGATCCTTCTGTCTCTCAGTCAACCAATGTAACATTTTACGTGTTCTTTGTTATTGAGTAAACCAGGGAAATAATAATTTGTTGCAGTGAATCTTTTACCAGAGCATATATCGAGTTTGCTTACTTGCTTTACCTTTTTTCACTTATCGTAAGTAACTGTTGGAAGAGAAATTCCCTTATTCCCGTAGTTGAGTGAGAAATAAAATAAAGCTGCAATGTGTTTTGTCTATTTAATTTCACACATATTATTTGCATTGAAGACTCACGCACCGACTTGAACATATTCCGTATAAATAAATTGAAGGACCAATGTAATTTTCTATTTGAAACAATTGGTTTCGCTTTTATTTGTATATATAACCTTAAATTGATAGCTCAGAATTGTAATTTCTTGAAAAACCATCGATATTTTCCTTCTTTATAACTGCTCTCAAATGAGGCCTTAATGTCTCTCAATGCCTTTTTCCTCTTGAGTGGGTCTTTAGTAACATCTTTGCCAAGAACACCTTTATTCAAAGGAATATCTATAGCGTATCTGGTTGGCATCAGATGAACGTAATTGTAAGTCTTAATGAAAGGCTTGATCTTATTACGCTTGACACGCTTCGTCTTTGACATACGATTTTTGATCGGTCTAGGATATCTATCAATACCAGCAACAACTGCATTACTGTAGGCTCTATCTGATGTACCTTCGTCGTGATTCTAATAATGAAAAATGAACCAAGAAAATAACAATTAGTGAACAGAATAAAGACCAATCTTGAACAAAGTAGACTTACCTTAAGAATCATTGCTTTTCTGCCAGCATAACGTCCACTCAGTATGAGCACAACTTTGTTAGGTTTCATAATTTTACCCATTTTCACTAGTTAATATTAATTGATTAACAAAAAATAAATAATTAATCTAACCGAAGAAATTAACTTAAAGAAACACAACAATTAAGTATGTTGTTTAACTTCACTACTTTGCGGCCTGGCAAAATAAATATAACAGCGCCACTACATTCCGTTTCCGGGGAGCATTGTTTCCAAGGAAACAAAGAAGCTCCCTTGAAATGATCATTTTACCGCCATATTTGAATGTTAACTAACAACATAAGTTTATTGAGAAAAACATGAAAGTCTATAATTAGAGACGCAGTTACACAATTATTCAAGGATTGAAAACAAATAGATTAAGAAAACACAATTAGGTGCTCAATTTAACTTTTCTTGGAATAAGGAACAAATGATGGAATAGCAATTATAAGTGTTGCTGAAATGGTTACTAAAGATGAAATGAAGTTCGGAGTCATCACAAATAAATTACCGAATGTAAAGCCAACATCTTGACGACCAACTCGATACATGAACAACATTACCTAATTTATCGAAATTTAAATACATAAACAAATATTATTAATGACCGTTTGTCTAGAATTTGAAATAATTATTTTAAACAGCAGACGATTGTTCAAAAGTGACTTGATAACAGTACTTACCTCATAGAGTGAAGATATTTTGTCTGTTTTGAATGTTAAAGGATACAAATCTTCTTGGACTCGCTGAGCTAAGGAATGTGTTTTGGTTAACAGGTAAGTTACTACAGAGATATCAATAAGGTGATTTAAATGGAAAAAAGAAGCAATGAAAACGTATTTGATTGTACGAGGAATGAAGTAGGTAAAATAGACTCGAGTTATCAATATGATCGTGTAACTTGAGTATATAGCAAAGATGTATAGCTTGGAATAGTTATTTGCCGAAATGATTAAATCGCAGGTTAATGTGTACTTTTCACGATAATACCGTAAAATGGATCGATTAATTGTATTATTGTTAAACTGTCCCAAGTTGGTTCTTATAAAGCGTAGAGCAGAGTAAACCAGGAAACATGTATCAACGAGAACCAAATCTTGAGACAGAAGTATAATCTCAGCAAACATGATACCTCCATAACTAACCATTCCGGCCAATATCGTCTTTATTGGATCAGTTTGAAAGTTGAAGATATAACCGAACAAAGATTGCTTCGAGTAAAACAACTGGATCAATTCGTGTATGCCAATTATTACATAAACAATGTAAATTACGATATGAAATTTTTTTCTGTTATGATTGAAATACTCATAACATTGTTTATATTTGCCGAAGCTCAGAGATTTCCAAATTGTAATCAATTCATTGACATGAGTTGGCCGAACTAGAAACAGATAGACCAATACCAACGAATACAAACCATTGACCAGTTTAATCAGATAAACAATCAGTTCACCAGTAATGATTGATGGATCAGTGATGAAGTTGTAAACCAGATCCAGCAAATTAAGGGTTAGAAAAGCAGACAGAATGAAACCAATTTTGGGCTGCTTCAGATAAAAGGATAAAATTGGTTGATCAGTGATTGAATTTATACCGAAATATGGATAATCCAATTGGCTATCGATTTGATTGGAATTGATTTTATTCTTAAATTTACTAATCGCTGGTAAGAATAAGCGACTTGGTGGAGCACTCAATTCATCAAAAGATTGAAACGCTTCGATAAGATCCATGTTGACGGATTAAATTAAATCCTATCCAAATGACCTTTCATCCTCGATTCATTCTGCTTCACTGTTCAGGACAAACCAGTTGAATTTGCATCATAACTTCAATATCAACTCCATAATTTACAATAGAATAATTTAAATCTCATTTTGTTCTTGTGGCCTTTGCTAGAAATGATTAATAGATGAAATTTGAATCGATTTTATTTCTCGTTAAGGACCTTAACTATCTGTCTCCAACCGATATGAAATTATTAATTTTTAATTGGTGACAAGGTTAATATTAATTAAAGGTGATTGCAAACAAGTACAAACCTGAAAATTTTAATAGTTTATAAACTCACCATTAGATTTATTGATTTGTAAGTAGTGATTAATCAATGAGCGAAGCATTAATCGCAATTTTTCATTTAATTTAAGTTAGAAGAGTTTAAATCAAAATGTTATTAGTGAATAATTGATATCAAAGAGGATATCGATTTAATTGAAAGTGATCAACAAGCTTCAATAATCAATACAATTGAATTTGGACAGTTGCATTACTTCATTTCATTCCTCAAATTGTCAGATAAACACTTCATCTCGGAGGTAGGAAGGATATTCGTTAGCACAAAACTTAGATGGGAATCGATCTTTTCCGCCACATGCACATCATTGTCCACCACTTTGCCAATCTCTTTTTTCACCATATTGTCCACCATTCAAATCTAACACATAAACTAAATCAATCATCATTACTTTTTAAAGAACTTTTCTCAACAAAATTTGTCCACCACTTTCATCCACCACATTTCTCATCAATTTTTTTCATAAGATTTTCCATCACCCGAATCCATCAAATTGTTCACCACTTTTCGGATATGATGTTGATGAATGGTGGATGGGTTAGATTTGGGTGGTGAAAAGATGATTGAAAAAGTGGTTGATGTGGGTAAAAAGCCGATAGATGCAATTCCCTCTAGTATCAATTATAAGGTCAAGAGAACTGTCCATGAATCGAAAAAAATTGAATGAAAATGAAATGGCGAATTTTTAAAAATTGTAATCAAATAAAACTGACCAAGTTTAATTGTATTGAAACTCGTTGGTCAAATTTAATGAATTTCATATTCATTTCGATATTTAAGTGACTTATTGCACAGCGGCGGAATATTTTATCACTCTAAATAAGTCTAGTTGTTTCTGATTATCTTTGAATAAATTTGATGCAAGATCTGTTTCAAAGCGAACTTTAACGCAATTCTCTTGTAATCACAAAATAATTGCAATTGTAAAAGTTCATTTCTATGTCTCTACAAACCCAACAAGTCTCAACGCTTGGAAGTCAAAGTTTTTGCATTTGCTCCTTTTTTCCTACAACTTTGTAACTAAAGTTTGTTTCATCAAATTAATTGATTCGACGATATTCATATTGATGTTTTTGTGAGTACTGAATGACTCATGCAGCATGGTTCAGTGCATGTTTTGGTGGTAAGGGTATATAAGTATCGAGTCCAAGATCCGATCCCAATTCCTGGCATTTACAGCATTTAGCTTTAAACGTGGTTCTGTTTAGTGTGGTGGAGCGCTCGGTTCAAGTTAATAACAATTACGAGTGAAGGGTATAACTCTTTGATTACTTGCTCAGTTTTTTAAAAATATATTGTTATCATCTCGAGTTGAACTCTTCGTTAGCGATGAAGTAAATGACAATAATTTTAAATAAGTTGACTTCTGTATCTGGTGTGATATCCAATAGATTGTTGCCTATACCTTTGTTTAAATTATTTTCAATGGACGACAAACGACTCGTTTTTACCCAAAAATTTAATCCCTTGACTGGAAATTTGGAGTGGACATATTTGCCAGAAAACTATGATTATGTTCAGGAGATATCGCGATCTGATTACGGTGATATGCTCTGGGACCAAGAAAGAAATGTATTGTACAACAAAGCAATCAAAAAGTATGTTGAGAGATTGATGTCGATCAAAAAACCTACAGAGAAGATCCGCGTAATTGATATTGGAACTGGAACTGGACTCTTATCCATGATGGTTTGTCGAGAATTTGGTTCGAACTTAAATAGAGTAGCGGTTACTGCCTTTGAATGTTTCTCTCCAATGGCCGAATGTGCTGAAAAGGTGATAAAAAGAAATAACTTCGATAAAAGCATCACAGTCATCAATTCGAGATCTGATGAAGTTGATCCATTTGAACCTGATGAGCGAGCAGACCTTCTCGTGAGTGAGGTTTTTGACACTGAATTAATTGGTGAAGGAGCCTTGAGAGTGTTCAAAGTTGCTTTGACTGAGCAATGTAAACTCAATCCTCTCGTTATTCCACACAAAGCTCGCATATGGGTTCAGTTAGTGAAATCATCATGGTTGAACAACGGACATTGTATGGCTCCTAAAGGAATTTCCATCGATGGGAAAAAATTAAACATAGAAATACCTAAATCTATTATCAACTGTTATGGATCCAACCATTTACATGATCTTCAAGCGAATCAATTAGAAGTGGGCAAAGATATTGAACTTATTTCGGATCCTATGATAGCCTTTGTCTTTGATTTCTCTAAACCGGATTCATTGAAATATGACGACCACACAACCCTTGAGTTTATTCTTAAGAATTCTTTAAACTCTGAATTTGTGAACATTGTTTTCTGGTGGGATTTATTTATGGATGATGAATCTGAATATGTTTTAAGTTGTGCACCTTACTGGGCTCATCCTACCAAAGACATAAGTGGAACTAAAAATAGGATTCCTTGGAGAGACCATTGGATGCAAGCAATTTACTATTTACCCGCTTATTATAAACCATTTGAAATGAATTCTAAAGAAATTTTCAAATTAAATTGTTATCATGACGAATTCAGCTTTTGGTTTGATGTTGGTTCTAGTAAGGCATCGGCTAGATCAAATTTTTGTTCTTGTGGTATTCACAATGATTTGAGCCGCAATCGAATTAGAATGATGGCTGACGAAAGAGTTTTGTCAGTAATTTATCCTCCCGTTTTTATCGAAATTTTCGGCAAACGTGATTTGAACATATTGTTTTTGGGCGATGCTAGTCTCATTCCAGTTTTGTTAGGAAAAGATTTACATGAATCTGGCAAAGTTTATGTAATCAACAGAGGACAAATGGTGAATAAAAGATTCTACGAAGAGTTTGGACGTACCAATGAGATAATGGATAGATTGGTAATTGCAGACGACATTAGTGATATTGAGCAGATACAGTTTGATCTGATCATCGCCGAACCTTTCTTCAACTCAATCAGTTTACCATGGGATGCTTTTCACTTTTGGTACCTGATCGGGGATATGGCTGAAAGAGGAATGGTAACAATTAAAACAAAAATATATCCATCGAAAGGTCGAGTTGTTATGTTACCTGTTGCTTTTGATCATTTATGGAAAATAAAAGCTGAGTTGCGAAATGTAGAAGGATTTGACTTGGCAGATTTCGATAGTTTATTGGAAAAAGCCCGAGAACTTTGTGATTCACCGATAGAACCGCAGCCATTATGGGAATATCCGTGCAAAGCTTTATCCGACAAGCCAATCACTGTTTTTGATTTTGATTTTAGAGATGAGAGGGTTACAACACGTTCTAGATACAATTTTACAAAAATGATGAAAATCGAAAATTCCAATGATTACAATAATTTAGGCCTAGCATTTTGGACTGAGTACGATTTCGGTGATAAAAAATTATCAACTGGTCCAGTGGAAAAAATTATTTGTGATCAATATATCGAATGGTGCAAAAATTGGAAACAAGGAATGGCCATTCTTCATTCTAGATTCGCAGATGAAATGCTTATGAAAGATTTACTTATAGATTTGGAAATCGAATATGATTGTTCATTAGGGGTCATGAATTTAAAAAGTCGTTTGATCAAGGAAAATGAAGAGACGGGAAAAATTTTGGACAATTAAAATAACTTTTATGTAATAAATTCCACTTATAATTAAACTCTTTCAACTTTTTTATTCCCAACACCGTGCAAAGTTTTTAGCTTTTCGCGGCGAAACTTTCACACATATCATTTTTGAGTAAAAGTATCGACAATTTACCTGTCGATAACACTCGATACCAAGAAAATGCACAATTTGATGATAACGACGATTCATGACAATTGAAGTTACTCGAATTTAGCGCTTTTATTAACAATGCCACCTGACGGGAACCGGAAAAACTGTTTATGTTTTTATTTTTTTCAGTTTAATTTCCACATTTTTTTAAAGTCTAAAATACATTTGTAATTCAGTGTTAATTTTAAAAGTTAAATTAATTAATCATGAAGAAGAAGAATAAAGATTTCCAAAAGACCAAATTGAAAATTGGTAAGAAAATTCCTAAAAGAAGCAATGATACCAACACTCAGTTTAAATCAAAGAAAATTGTGTTAAAAGATCAATCAACATTGGAAAACAATCAGATGGCTGTTCTTTCTCGTAATTTATTTTCTAACAAGCAATTTAAGTTGCTTTGTTTGAGTAAAATATACTCTAACTATTTGGATAAAAATGCTGTTGACGGAGAATCAATTAATATCCTATCGCGTTTGCTGCTTGATAATGAAGAACAAGTGCGACAATCAACAATTAGGTGTATAAAAAAGTCTATGAATAGATTGATTAAGGAAGATCAATCTATTAATCCGTTTCTAACCATATTGCTGACTTATATCAAATGTGGCTTAACCCACATTGACAATGGAGTTGTTTCCGATTCAAGTGATATTTTTGCATTCATCATTGATAAATGTGATATGACCTCTCACCAACAGCTGATATTAACTTTTTTGCCTCGTCTGTCTGTTGATTCTCAAGTAACAGCAAGAGATTTTGAAATAGCTGAAAAAATTCTTCGTGCTGTTGCTAATGGCAACACGAAAGCAGAGTGAGTACGAAATAATTGTTCAAGTATGTTCAACCTCATTTATTCTAATTCTTTTTTCTCGTTAAACAGCAAAAAAAATCATTTAAGTATCAAGTGGACTTCCGAAGATAACTTCTGCGATGTTTCTAAACTGACGATTAAAGAGCCCAATACAAAATTAAATTTGAGTTTCCAGTTGCATGCTGAGGAGGATGTTCGAGGTAATCTCATTTCTTGTATGAATAAATTAATCGAAAAAGAAATTGATGATCTTGCAAAAAGAAAGTCCAATCAACTTACGATGAACCGAGACGAGGCTAAAAAGTTAATTGCATCCGTTAAAATAGCTGATATCCTTAAATTGAAACGAGATCATATTGATGATAAGATCAGAAAAATCGTCGTCACTGATGAATCGATTGACAACAAATCAAAAAGGATGAAGACCGAGAATAATCAATTGCAGAATGCTATAATAAATTTGTTGAAATAAATGTTTCGCCGAAGTACATTTTGTATATGTATTATTAAAAATGTATTAGTAATTATTACAGCCAAATCAACTACTATCCCCTTTTAATCTACGCACAAAATCAGTCTCTTCGGCCAATGAAGCAGCATCTTGTTGTGCAGAAACTTGCCACATGAGAATCATCCGATCATCAATCTCGTCATCTTCCTGGTTAATATAATAGGCTTCATCATTATTTAAACTTGGAACCAATGGTATCTCTCTTGCTTTAAATTTAACTGGAAAGATAGAAATTAGTTGATTTGAATATTTACAGAAGTAAACTGAAATATGGATAGTAAAGTTTCTAAACTCACCTCTAGTCAATCCGTTACCACAAAGATTACAAACGATTGAATGCTTAGTTTCTTGTAGCATTTTCCATTCCTGTCTGATTCGTTTACTTTCAACTTCAATTCGCACTGCCTCTTTAATTAATTGTTCAGCTCTTCTCTCCATTTTGGCTTCTTTTGAATTAACTTCATCGCTGATCTTTTTAGCCATTTCAAAGGCTCTTAAACCTTCTTCTTTTTCTTTCAATGAAATAGATCCAGCGTTTTCCAATTCATTTGCATTTTGTGCAATCAGTTCAGCCAATTGTTTCAGTTTCTCTTTTTCACCATCAAACAATATTTTTTTATTTTCTAGTTTTTGTTGTTCCGACTGTAAGTTAAGATACATTTCCTGAGCTTTAGATCTTTCCTTGGCTAATTTTTTCCTCTCTTCATTTGCTTCTCCAGTTAATCTTGCCAAATTGTCCTTCTCTCTGGTCATTTCGTTTTTCCATTCCAATTGACTTATTACCAAAGAAGACTCCCTTTTTTCCAAATCAATAGATTTCTCAGCCAATCTTTCATTTTCTCGCGATATTTCATTACTTTCACGAGTTAATTTATCTCTAATTTGAGCCACCTCTTCTTCCCACTGGCGTTTGTCCTTCTCGAAACGCTGTTTTTCTTCGTCAAAAGTTCGTCTCTCATTGTTTAATTGATGCTGTTCATTGACAATCAACTTTCTTTGCTCTTCAATCAGCTTCATCAATTTATCTTTTGCTTCTTCGTTTGCTTCTCTTTCTCGTTCTACAGAACGCCTCAATGTTGTCCAATTTTCTTCAATTACATTAAATTGTCGATCTTTAGCTTCCAATGAATCGATTTTACCTTTAATTAATTCGTCCTCTTTGGTGACCAATGATTTATACAAAGATTCCATTCGATCAGCATTAGCTATCCACTTATTCACTAATGACTCAAGCGAATTACTTTGTTCATGTAGTGTATGAACAGATTCAATCTCTTGCCCCTTAATCCGTCTTAAGCGATCCAAGTCAATTTCATGTTGCTCGGTCAACCTTTTAATCAGCGATTTATGCATCTCTTTCAATCTTTCAACTTCTTCCTTACACTCCTTTTCAATGATTTCAACCTTTTCATTATAACGACTCCTTAATTCCTCTCTATCGCGTTCACTTGTTTCCAGTTGATTTTTTAATTCATCCATACGCCTATCTCTTTCCTCTTTTAACCTAGAATACAAATGATTGAATTATTCAACCCAAGATAATTAAAATCAGATCTAAAGACTTACATTTCCTCTTGTCTTTTATAAACATCTATTGTCATTGTAAGTTGTTGCCTGTGAAAGGAAAATACAATTTTGTTTGTACAAACAAGTTTGGTTGAATTCAATGCTGAAAATCTATGAAATATTTTCGAAAAGCATTAGAGACAACATTTTGAGCAACTTTTCATAAGATTAATATTCAAAGAAAATGCCAGTTTTTGGAAAAATTTCATTTAATTTTAACACTGAATTCAACAAAATTTATTTTACTGGATATTCAAGATTAGTTTAGATTTCACATTTAAATGTTTTCAATGCAAGACTTTTAAATACTTACTCGTTTAATGTCTTCAATACACTGATTTCTGATCGGTGATTATCCTTCAATTGATTGATTGTTTCAGTAAGATGCTCCTTCTCCATATTCAAAATAGCAACCTAATATTGAATACAGATTCTCATTAATTTTAAATTTTTCTACTTAAGATCTTCAACTATTAACCTTTGCCTGAAGTATCAGAATATCTTTCTGACTAGTTGCATATGCAATTGTTAGTTGAGATGGATCTATTTTCAATAATGAACCCGGTTGCATGATAACAGCTTCATCTTTTCCATCAGAAAATTCAGATTCGTTTATTTCTAATCCAACTGGTGAGCTTTCTGGTGCTTTCTTGCTTTCTGTGACTTGCTTTTTAATATCGAGCCAACTATTATCTACTTGCTTAGTTAACTGTTGAGGCTCTGTGTTTGGTCGATCTTTAAATCTCCTTTCAGCTAATCCAGTATCCAACCATGAAGTATCCTCTGATTGTCCTTTGATATCTGAAGATGGTACTGATGTTGATGGTTTCGAGGTTGACGGTAGCTGATTGAGCTGTCTACTGGTTGCTGAAGACACTCTTGATACCAAATCTTCATCATTATCTTCCAATAGTCCTAGCCAATCTGAGCGACGAGATTTTGATCCACTTGTTCCAGCAGATGAATTAACGGAAAAATCCTGCTTCTGGGATTCACTTTGATTTACAATGGGTCGTGATAAACCTTCATTATTCCTGGTAGGCACACTGATTGATTGCGACCTATCATCATTGTCGATGAAACGCACAGATTTACCTTTTTTAGCTGAATCTAGACGGGGTGAAGGTTCTTCAGCAAGTAACTCATCAAGAAAAGATTTTCTTCCTGACATTATTTTGATTTACTGAATAAATGCTGAGCAAATGGTTAAAACTACATCATTGAGTTACTATTGAAAATTTGAGTGAATTGTTTGTTTAGTTTCGAGTAACCATAGAAACTATATGTTTTAAGAAAAATTCGTTAATGAGATTATAAGCATTTAGTTAATTCATGTTGGAAAGAAACAATTCCTGAGTTAGAGAATAAAAAATAAATTAATTCGACAAGTTTTTTGGTTCATTCAGTATTTATTCTGACATTGAATGATTTCATTTTAAATTGAACCTTTTCAATGTGCATTAATTAAAACAAAGGTAGAGCAACGGAATAGCTTGACAGTAAAATGCTGCAATTAATTTAATTTAGATAAATCAAGATACTTATTATTCTCAGAGCTTTTAAAACTCATCTTCAGCTTTCAATAATCTTTGCTCCTTGAAACGTTTGAATTTCTCAATCAAATCGTCTACTTTAAATTCACCTCTAACCACATTATCTCGAGTTCGCACATTCACTGAATCGTTTTCTTTTTCCTTTTCACCAACAACCAAGATAAAATTGAATTTATCAAGCTGGGCGTTACGAACTTTTTTGTTTAGACTGAGCCCTGGATCAGCTTCGATTTCTGCTTCAAAACCAGCTAAATAGAGTTTCGAGCGAACTGATTCAGCATATTCAACAAATGGTTCAGCTACCGGAATGAGAATTGCTTGTTTTGGTGATAACCAGAAAGGCCATTTTCCAGCAAAGTTTTCGGTCAAAATTGCTATAAATCTTTCAACTGAACCGAAAATAGCCCTGTGGATGATTACTGGTTTGTGTTTTTCCCCATCGGGTCCAATATAACTAAGATTGAATCTTATTGGTAGCTGAAAATCTAATTGGATTGTAGCACATTGGAAAGGTCTTTTGAGGGCATCTTTTACGGTTATATCAATTTTTGGTCCGTAAAAGGCTCCATCACCGGGATTTAGACCCCATTTATTTCCACTGGCATTCAAAGCATTTTTCAAAGATTCTTCTGCATTATTCCAGATAGAAAGTTCACCAATGTAAGAATCAGGACGGGTGGATAAAACCATATCAAAAGTGAATCCAAGGGTTGAATAAACGTCTTGCATGAATTGTAGACATTCCAGAATTTCTTTTTCAATCTTTTAATAAAAAAAGATGAACATTAGTTAGAAAAGAAGAATAGATCGTAAAGATAAAATGATAGGAAGAACTTACTTGTGAATAGGAACAGAAAATATGGGCATCATCTTGTTGGAACCTTCTAACCCGAGTCAATCCTGAGAGAGCTCCAGAGACTTCATTTCGATGGAGAACACCAAAGTCTGCGAATTTTATGGGTAAATCTTTCCATGAGCGAGTGCGTGAATCGAAAATAAGACAATGTCCAGGACAATTCATTGGTTTTAGGGCATATTTTTCTTCATCAAGGTCAAAAACAAACATATTATCTTTATAATGTTGCCAATGGCCCGATGTTTCCCATAGTTTGGTATTGTAAATATTTGGCGATATAACTTCTTTGAAGCCTCTCATGCGATATTCTTTCTGTAATTTGAAAAGACAGTGAAAATTAATAAAAGTTAAAAAATAGATTAATTCATATAACACCAAAACTTACTCTAATAAATTCAATCAAATTGTTATAAATATATGCACCATATGGGGTGAAAAATGCAGATCCGCGACTGAATTCATGGAAAAAGAACAAATCTTGGGCTACACCAATTTTCCGATGATCACGTTTTGCTGCCTCTTCTTGAAATCTTTCCCATTCTTTCATTTGTTTGGTATCAGGAAAAGAGATTCCATAAACTCTTTGGAGCTGCTCACGAGATACATCACCCTCCCAATGAGTAGCAGATGACTAGAAAATAATACCATTATGAATTAATCCTACAATAATTATATTTGTACAGATAATATTAAATTGTCAAAAAAACTAACTTTGGTGACTTTCAATGCTTTTATCAGTCCAGTATGTTTGATATGAGGACCTAGACATAGATCAATTAGGGAGCCACATCGGTAAACAGTGGTCCGGTCTTCCTTGACTTTTTCATTCAAGATCCTTACTTTAAATTGGTTGTAATTGAACATTTCAAGCAGCTGTTCTTTGGTCAATTCGAGTCTCTCAAAAGGTTGCTTCTCATTACAAATAGTTTTCATTAGATTTTCAATCTGAGGAAAATGATGTAATGAAACAGTCGCTAGATTATCATCAGTAGGTTTTCCTTCCGCGTCACCAGATTCTCCACATTGATTACACGATTTATGAATCATGTACATATCATAATAGAAACCATTTTCAATTGGAGGACCATAACAAAGGTGACTTCCATATAATCTTTCCAGGGCTTCTCCCAAAACATGGGCAGTTGAATGCCAGAAGACAGCCTTACCTAAGGGCAACATAGAAAAGATAAAATTGGTTATATTTAGTATATTGACGTAAAGAGCAAAGACAAATAAAAATGCATACCTGTGTCATCATCAAATTTGATTAACTCAATTGAACAATCTTCCTCTAATGGTCTTTCAAGATCCCACAACTTTCCATTAACTTTTGAAATGATTATGCTTTCAACCCATGATTTGGATCCAACTTTTTTGGCAACATCAATCGGAGTTGTCTTCCAGCTTTCAAGTCCCTCTAAAGTTTTTAAATTTCCATCTTTGTCAATACAGGAGATTTTAATCAATTTAGGTTCTTTGGTAGCCAACTCGGCCAAATAAATAGATTTAAACTTATCCCATAGCTTCAACCGATGTTCGATAAACTCAGGACTGGGAGATAATTCTTTCAAAGGTGTTTTGATTTGTTGAGTAGCACTTTCACTTGCAACGACACTTGACACAGTCATTTTAAAGCGTGATTTGTTAAAGCTGTGATTAAATCGATGAAAAACTATATTGAGTCTACTATTAAATAAGTTCACGTTGAACCGGATCCTTCTCATTTCATCATCAGACAGTGGGAATCAGAAATGGGATTGAGTCTTGGACTCGATACTGGTTGCAGCGCAAGATTTGAAAACAAAATGATTTCATTCAAGAATAAAAAAAATCAAACGTATTCAACATTTATTTCTTGCTGAGAATCTTTGTCGCAATAATCATGGAACACGTTGAGTTCTTTGAATTTTGGACCCAGCATCAATAGAGCAGTAATTAACTGTTAACAGATTTTAAACTCAAATTATCATCTTTTACTTGTTTAGATCAATTTTTATTGTTGTTAACAGAGTTTATTGTGAAAAAACATAATTTATCTCATTCTTTTAGCTCTTTTATTGCAAAAATTACAGACAAAAAACAAATCGAGACGATTCCGAGCAGGCAGGAAGTTTAAAGCAAGAAATATTTCATCTTCAGTTTGTTGCCAATCATCAGGTTGTTGTTGAAATCGGAATTCAAACTAATCTTAATCAGATTCGAAAAGGGCTTCCAATCCATCAAGAACCCGTAACTCCTCGAAATCTGTTCAAATAATAATTTAAATTAATTAATTTCGGGTCAGTTTTTAATTTATCGACTCACAATTATTGAATTCTCCAGATGTCAGTGAAGGACTGTCCAAATCATTGTTAGATGATTCACTTGAATTAGAGCTCAGTTCATGCAGAATGCTATCCATTGAAGACATTCTGTGAAAAAAACAAATCATGTTAATTATTAATCGAATACATGACATTAACCAAATCTCATGAAATAGAAGAGAATCAAGAATAAGATCTCATGTAATCAAAACTATAACTTCAAACAGAGTTTTCATTTTGTTCAATTTTATATTGAATATGCTTACATTTCATTAACCATTGTACCATTGCTATCAAATGCAGTTTCTAGAACAGTATCATTATAAGTGAGTCCAGTTGATATTGATGCAGATGAAGAGTTCAACGGTTTAGATGTAGTGACTGTAGCTAATGTCGTCGTTGATGATGATGCTGGTGTTGTTGCTGTTGGTTTTGTTGTTGTTGATGCTGGTGTTGAAGGTGTTACCGTCTTTGGTGTTGTTGATGTTGAATTAGCGTCTTCTTTGTTGTTTATCAATGGTTCAGAAGCTATTTTATCCTCAATTTTCTCGTCTTTTTCTTTGTCTATTTTATCAGATTCAATTACATCCTCAACTGAGTCACTTACGTTGAAATTTGTGTCATTGGACATCTTTTCAAAGGCATCCAAAGTTTCCGCAATTTCACCCAAACTAGAGTTTGTTGTGTCCACTGAATCCACATTTCCTGGTTAATTGAAAAAACAATTTCTCATAATTTAATCTTCTTTTAACCTCAATCGGTCAAATGGTTAATAAAGCTTACCTGGAGGTAAAGATAATCCATTTGTTGTACTTACAATAAAAAATAATGAAACGATTAAAAGTTGAAACATTTTGTCCATTATAAAATGAAAAAGGTAAATGTAAAGCTTTGTAGTAACAACAGTTGAAACAATCACAGTTTGAATGAAGGCAGTTAACTACAAAATATGAAATAATGAGATTCACTTTGGTTGGCAACTTAAATACTTGAATTGGCTTTCCATTCAGTTAATAATTGATTAAATGTTAAAAGAAACAATCGCCATTAATTGCTATGATGTTAAGTTGGGTAAAATTTTAACCATTACTGAAGATCCGGTAATCATTTGATAGCCATCTTAACCACAGTTGAAATTGCCACTAGGAAAAGTACAATTTAACAGCAAAAAGTTAATGGATAAACAACTTATTGTAAATAGTAGTGAATCGATTTATAAATCATTATTATCCCGGCAGTAACATTTAGCTGCCAATAAAATGATTAATAATGGAATTGAAAATTGTTAAAGCAACTGCAAAATATTGGAAAAAGACAAGATTAACACATTGAAATAATTTAAACGATCAAAAAAATGAAAGCCGATTGTAAATGACCATAAACATTAAATCCGTACAATACAATATGCAATACAGATGCATCGTTGAGCAGTGAATCATCAATCCAAAAGTGAAACTGATAGCAAATAACGATTTACCTGTTGATGAAGACTTTAATGGCATTCACAACAACCAGACATAATTTGTTTTGTATCCAAATTAAGTTTCATTATTGACATCTCTTTAACTTATGCGTCTGTGAATATTTTGGTCAAGAATTGATTGTTATGTGGTTTTCATCATTACTTTGCTTCTATCTCCCAAATCATGACAGAACAGTACTTTTTGTCAAACTCAAGTCAAGTTATCGCAAGGAAAGTAAGCATAACAGAATCTGAGGAATTAAAGAGAAATATTTACCCAGTCAATATCACTTGCCTTCATCTTCATCCTCAACTTGATACACTTACATTAATTCATATTTTCAAGCTGCAAGTTGCCAAAATGTCTAAAGATTTTCATTTCACTTGACATTAAACCACAAAAATGAAAGGTTTGATTCAAACAATAAAATTGATATAAAAATTGTGACAACAATCAACAACAATCTAAATTTGAATCGATAAAAAATGTCAACAAAACAAGTGGCATAAAGGTTAAGTTGTGCAAGTCAAATGCAATGTGTACATTAGCTTATGAAAAGCATTGGTAGGAATCAAGTGACACATTTATGTTTCAAAGCAAATAACCATGAATTCTGAGAAATTGTTACAAGGGTAAGAAAGAAATGAGAATCCAATTTATTGGAAATAATAATAATAATGATTGATTTTGATAATGGAAACGATGAAGATGAATAAATGTCTTGTGGGAAGGAAAAAGATTGAAAGATGAAAATGGCTTTTTGCTGATGGCAAGCAAAAAGTGTAGGCTGTAACTTCAACATGATCATATTTATTGTGATTAATGTTAACATGATGTTTATTATTTCCCAATAATTTAATAAGATGGAGCCAATCAACTTCAATAATTTGTCAAAAAGCAATGTTAAAAACATTTATAATAAAATGTAAACTTGTTGAGTTGGACATTAACGAGAAAAGATCAAACTCAATGTAAATAAAAGTCGAATAAAGAAACTGTATTTGCAATCAACATCCATTTAAAGCATCAAACTAGTTAATTTAATGATCAGTGTAGTGATTTGATTTTAAATTTGAATTCTTTTAAAGATAATTCCAATTCATGACAATTCGATTGAACTGTTTCCAATGTTAAACTAATTATCTTTTGATTTTTCGGTTAGTTGTGATGAATGTGTATGTTAACTTGAGCCGTCCAATGTTGGATTGTAAATAATGATACTGGTAAAGATGAAGGTTGTAAGGATTGAAGTAGAAGAAGATAAATAAATGAAATGCCCACGCCATGGTTCTGAATGCAATCATCATGAGAATAATGATTTCCACTCATTCCCAGACCTTTTGATATTCTGTCCATCCCAGTCCTTTAAAGATAAATGTTGATAAATTTCTTACCTTTCACATCAACTTTTTACCTTCATCATATTTTCATCTTTATTTTCATCTTCATCAAGAACGATTATGGTAAGAATAATCATCTTTATCATCGCTTTTTGTATTATGAACGATTCTTCAAATAGACAGATAAGTTAGAAAGATGAATATGTACAGAACTGTTGGAGGAGGAACAATGGATTGAAGATGGTAAACCTTGAATTTCTCTGGAACTCATGCATATCACCTTTTACTGTTGAATTTTGTGTGGGTGTCTGTTGGTAACCGAAAATTCTAGGTCAGGTCAAGGGTAAGGCTAGATGTGTAGGTGTGATGATCAAGATTGGATGGGGAAGAATAGAATAGGGAATGAGTTGATGGATTCAGTTGAAGGAAGGAAGGAAAAGATTTATCGATCCAGAATAATAATCAAACTGTTTGCCTGATTCTGTGTCTCTTCTTTATTCACTGATCATTCATGACAAATCAAAATGTTATTATCAACAGGTTATTGTTTATAGATGTTCATGAGTTACCTTGTTTTCGATGGATCAAAAATCCTTGTTGGTCAAAATTAATAAATAATAACGAACAAGATTTTGTTGTTTACTAATTATCACATTAAATGTACATTCTTATTGATGAAAACGAACAGACATTTCGATTTTAATATTGCGTTCTAATTAATTTGTCACTTGTTTATTATTATGTTTGACTGAAATAAATGCTAGTTTGGATCAATTTTTCTGTTCCAAAATGTTATGTCATTTGATATGTGTTACAAATGTGTTAGTATAAATTAATCTACGAGTTTAATGGGTTTTGTCCGATTGTCAATGAAATTTGAGCAAAAAAACTCTGAATTACTTTTTCGTTTCGCATATTATTAATAGTTTAGTATTTGATGAAAGTAACATTGAATGACTAACAGTAAACATTCAATTCAATATGTTTTTCTCGTTCTCTAACTGTTCAAGATTAAAAGGTTGGTTATTAGCTTAAATGTGTCAATCCAAGAAAATATTTCAACAGAAATCTATATTCGCTCTTCGAGGTACAAACCACATTCGTCATTAGCTTCTTGATTAATCAAACTGCAATGAGAGAGAATCGATCCTTTCGTTGTAAAATTGTCATTGTAATACAATGTACTGCAAGAAAAACAATGTAATAATTGGAATGAAAATGTTTCAGAATAAATTTTCATAAATCTCAATGTATTTGTTGTCATTTTTCAAACTGAATGATTGTTAAAATCGTAAACCAGCTACAATATGCATATAAGGTATAAGCCACTGTTTGAAAAGGTGAAAGACTCTAATGATTGTCCTGCAATTTGTCTGCATTTAAAGATCTTTGTGAAAATGTAATACAAATGGTAAATGATGCTCGTTTAGAAGGTTTTCGTTTCTTCAAACAACTAACATCATCAGTTTGTTTCGTCAATTCTGTCAATTTAAAATTAGCTTTGAAACGAATCGAGAATCATTAAATTATCCAGGGTGTAGAAAGATAAATCCAGGGTTAATTTTCGCTCGATCTGTTACGTTGACCAGCAACTTCATAATACGAAGTCCTATTAGCCTTTTCTGTTAGTTTTCTTAATACATTTGTATGAACCTCTGCTCGAATCTCAGAAATTGTTTGAACATAAAGCTGATGAACAAAAAGTTTTGCATTGATCAAGTTTGTTATTTGATGAGAACAGTTCCATCAACTCATATAAACTGATCCAGCTATCATCAGGACTTTTAATTGTTTAGTGAATGCAAGCAAGTTTGAAACCGGAGACTCTTAGATAGTAACCTCAATTTCCTTGACCTTAAAGATTTTACTGAACTTGCACTTAATAACTTACATTCTCTATTTACTCGAAAATTGTGTTCTCACATTAAGAACCAGTGATCATAATGGACTAAATACTCGACTTCAAAAGAAACCAAAAAGTACAAGCGTAAAGTATTGTAACATAAATTTTAAGGTGAATAAGTTGAGCGAAATGTAGAAAAACGCTGTTTTGTTAGCTTCATTGTGAACTAACCGATCAATATTTAGTAAACACAACTTTCGCTTCATAACAATTGACTTTTTAGTTACATTTTTGTTTCATTTATTTCTGAATTTGCAAATTTGCATCATTTCTCGCTGTTGATCCACCATGAAACCCATTGTTTCCATCAGTCGACTAACCATAAGGCTAGATAATGTTGATTCTCGAAATAGGTTTTCCCTTAAGTATCATTACTGAATCATTTATAATTTAAATGGCAATACTGATGGCTTTCTTCATCATATTATTTCTTCAGTAACACCAAAAGCCACACTTTGATGATCATCGTTAATATCGTTGTTGTTTATGGTTATAATGATTCGTTTTGTTGAACACATCTATAACCATTAACCTTTTATATTTTGATTCAGTAAACATGGTGAATCACTTTTATTGTAACGCAAATGTTTGCTTAACCAAACTTAACAAATGCGGTCTTTTCCAGTTAGCCTGAGTTTCGATTCAATTTACAAATATCAGAACAGAAAGAAAATGAAATATAATCGAGTTTATGGAAGTCACTTTTCAAGTTTCACTTTTTATATTAAGATATTCATTGAATATTTTACCATTTTTCTTGGAATACTTTGAAAACACTCGAGTTTTAAGAAAATTTTATTCTATTAGTTCTTTGGATACTTTCATTAGTAAAGTAGTTCTATGTTGAAACGAATTGAATGAAAATGGTTAAAATACTGAATACTAGGAGACTTGGCGAATGCTTTGGTTAACTTGAAGTTTATCAAAAACTCTAGAGATTTAAGGTTTACTCAAAATTTTGACTTTTACATTATTTTCAGCAGGAACATGATGAAAATAAACATTATTTTGATTTGAAATACTTATTGATAGACAACTCTTCTTGAGATTTCAACGGACATGAATTTTGATAGCTTTCTCTTCTTTTTGAACCTGCATTTTTGATTCAAGAGCAGATTATTCTGCTATTGGAATCATAGCCCTTGACTTTGAAGTTTCAATTCAAGTTACACTTTTCAAACAGCATTATTCAATCATGAATAATCTCAGGTGTCTCTAATAATAGCCCAAGCCATTAAATGAACATTAACAATTCAAATTCATGAACCTTGGAATTGAGAGAAGCTGAATTTTTCTCTCTCGTCAAACT